GGGGAGGTTTGAGAAGGGGTGGGGTGAAAAAAACGGGCATGTGGTGTGGTTGGTGCGCGCACAGCAGTTGTTGATTAACGGGCTGGTGTGGGAGGGTGTTCACGAATGCTACCGTGTCCGTGAATGCTGCTTTGGCTTTGATGACGTACGGAGGGGAGTGACGTTCAATGAAAATCCTTCGTGTTTCCTCGAAGCAGAGAACAGGGGAGCGAATTCGACGAATTTCAAGCACAATAACAGGAGAATTACGGAGAAAACGTGGAGCGACAGACTCAAAGAAGTATCTCGACAGAAAGCGAGTCCACCACGTGTCCGTCCATTTACCCGCATGCCGTAGGAAGCTGAAGAGCTCACGGGCTTACGCGACTGCATACCGGTTCTCGACGGACCGTGGACGACCGTCGACGACCGTAGACGACCGCCTGCGGTGCTTCTGCTGGTTTACCTCGCCATGTGTCACGAACGGATGCTTTCAACCACACGGGATGCCTAATACCTATCTGGCGCAGTGTACTCGGCACTCACGATGCGCCACGCGTCTCTCTCTTCGAGCTATCCGTCAGTACTCACGCCATGCGTCGCATCGGTCTAGGTTTCCTGGAAACGCAACGAATCATGTTGCTCCACTAGTCCACCGTTAAATAGTAGTTACTTCTCCGAATTAAGCATCGCATTGCCCCACTCGTTACTAGCACACTCACGCATCTCGTCGATCCCTCGGAGGTACGCTTTGTAGTCGTAGAGTTTCGCCATGGTCGCGCGACACTCCTTCAGGTCCGCCTTTATCTGTGCGACAGTCGGCGAGGCGCGCGACGGGGCGACGGCGACGCAGAGAAGCATCGCACATGCGACAGCAAGCGACAACGCTGGCATAGGTCGCGTGTGCGCCATGGTTGACTGGAGGAAAGGGACGTGGAGGTTTCGGCCTGCTTTGCGACAACACTGGCAAGTAATTAAAATTCGCTCGACCAGCGAGGAAGGGCGCTGACGAAGATAGGAAAACGTTCAACCTCTAGCGGCATAGGAAATTTGGAACGCTGGCGAATAGACTCCAAGTTGATGATAATCAACTGACCAAGTTGAGGTTGAGTAGCGGAGGCTGGACCTCGACAGAGAAAACGACGGCCTCGGAAATACAGCGGAAACGGAGAGGCTGAGCGGAGCACAGTGATGTGGTCTGGCAGAAAGACGAAACCGAGAGACTGGCAGAAGTGAGCGAGTTACGGAAGAAAAATTACATGAAATATACTCTATATCAGCGGGCATGAAATTCGGTCATTCAGAAAGCATTGTGAATATCTGTGCGAGGGGGCAAGGGTAGTTTGGAGCTCGTGTCTGGCACTAGTGTGAAAAGAATCCACAACTGCGGTGAAGAAATTGCTGATGCGGCAGATTCGTAGCTTTTAGTAAGAAGAAACTCTCTATTCTCCAAGCGTACAGTATTTGCCCATGAATCTTCCTAGTTACCCGATCTGAGCCCAGAAGTGAGGCAAATCAAGACCGAGCTCTTCTGTCTGGAGATCGGTTTCGGTCGGACCGCGCGCACAGGTTTGGCTTGGTTCGGTTGGCGTGGTGTTTGTGGCGGCGGCAAGGGAGGGGACTACAGAGACCCTAGTCGCATTTTGTTAGGGCACTCTCGCTGTAAAGGTTGCACTCAAATATAATGAGTGACCTTATTCAAAGGCTGATATAAAACTTTTCTTAGATACGCTTGTTCCCGCTTTCGGACCATAAGAGAGCGGATTGTGGAACTGGCTTTGCTGTCGGTTGGTCTACTGCCCCTGGGCAAGTGGTGAAGGTAGTGCAGCACAAATGCTTGGTTGCTGCTGGCCCTCCGGCTGGTTCGGGCAGTAGCCAAACAAAGTTTGGGAGGACGTTCGCAATGGCGACGCGGGATTGATTTGGTTTTCAACCCAGCCTCAGTGGTTGGTTTGGGACGGAATGCTTCACTTGCCCAGCAATGATGAGGTGGGGTCAAAGGCTCGCTTGTGCGTTTCGATAAGGCAAAGCTTTCGTCAATTGTCATGTAGTTCTATCTCAAATAACGTTACTAAAAAAGGTGATCAAATCAATGCCCAACGCCCATCCAGCAAATCAAATAATACGGCTACCTCTCAGAGTAATGAATTGAGTATTCTTAGGGGATACACTGGGATATAACCTAAGGTGTTGTACTCTCTACGAGCATGCACCTATCTAGCCTATAACATATACAATTATATGTTGACACATCCCCTAGGCTAAACAAGGGGCAATGACTAGCACAAGACACGCAGCTCAGGGTGGCACTACTAGTCCAACCTCTGAGAAAAGTGTCTGAAGACCAGTCAGCAAGAGAACAAAGAAAACAAGAGTAACCAAAGGCGGCACAACTAGTCCAGCCACCACAACAGAGCCACAAGGCCAGTCAAGATAATATTAGGAGTAGTACACAATCAAGGTCCTAGCAAGTGAGAAGCTACATGAACTAGGCCAAGCTGTACACAGTGTCGCTGATGATCTTTAGGCGCAAGCGCCTTCGTAAAGATATCAGCTGTAATGGCACCGGAGGCCAAGTGGACTACGCAGGCCTGATGACGCTGCTGTAGCTTGTGCAGGAGGAAGTACCGCAGCTGGATGTGCTTCTCTCTGCCCTCCAATTGAGGCTCCTGATACAATAGGATCATGGCCCTATTGTCAGCGTACAGAACTGAGGCAGAGCTAGGCCCCTCACCAAAGTTTGTGAACAAGAAGGTCAGCCAGCGGAGCTCCTGTTCCGCCATGGCACCGGCGTAGATCTCAGCCTCACATCTAGACTTAGCAAGAGACGACGAGTGGGTGGACCTCCATGAGATGGCGCCTGCACCAAGGCTAAAGCAGTAACCCTGGGAGGACCTGAGCGTCTCAGCGTCGTGTGCCCACGAAGCGTCTGCGTGCTCTGTAAGGACCACTGGTCTGCCTCCCCGCACTAGCCCCATGCCCGATGTACTTGCTAGATAATGCAAAACCCTCTTAGCGGCCGACTAGTGCTGTGGCCGGTGTCTGCCTGTGGCCACAAAGCGAGCCAGGATGCTGAGAGGGTATGCGAGATCTGGGCGAGTGCTAGTCATCAGGTACATGAGGCAACCCACCAGCTCTACGTAAGTACCATTAGACTCTACAGACTCCTCAAAGACTGGAGCAAAGAGCCTGTGATCTACTGGCAGAGGTGGCGGCAGTGCAGAGGAGAACTGAAGACCGAACGTCTGAAGGACCTGGCGCACCAAGTGTGACTGTGTAAGAGTGATGGTGCGCGCTGCTCTGTCCCCGGAGATCTGCAGGCCAAGGTAGCGGAGCAACTCTACTAGGTAAGTGCCGGTGTGTCTCCTCAGCAGCTTTGCCTTCACGTAGCCCAGTGCGTCTCTGTCTGCATTAGCAAAGACCAGATCGTCTACGTAGACAAGGATGTAGAACCGGTTCTGGCCAGCACGAACGAAAAGAGCAAAGGGTCTGCAGACGACGGGCAGAACTGCAGGTTAGCTAAAATAACACGCAGCATATCGTGCCACTCACGGGGGACCCGCCGCAGGCCGTAAACCGGGCGCCGGAGGAGCCACCCTGTACCGGGGGTGAAGGTGCCGGTGAAGACGGGCGGACGACTTTGGTAGACCTGCTCGTGTAGACTGCCCTGGAGAAACGTTGTGGAGAAGTCGAAGGAGTGCAGCTCGTAGTCACGCTGTACTGCTACAGATAACAGCGCCTGAAGAGTAGTTATCTTTGGGGTTGAGGCGAAGGTTTGAAAGAAGTCAACACTCTTGCACTGACTGAAGCCTTTAGCCACGTGGCACGTCCATCGGACATCGACTACGTTCACCACGGGTGGGGGAACTGTATCGACATAGGTGCCGGTGGATCTCCAATATGCCATCTCCGCGTCCATGGCAGCTATCCACTGAGAGGGCCAGGATCCCAAGGGCGCCTCAGCGTAAGTGCGAGGGGTCGGGATCTCAAGGGCGTCTGGGTCACTCTCATGGACTAGCAGCATGGAGCAGAGATAAGGCGCGACCTCGGGTAGGAAAGCTAGCTCGTACTGCCGGTCCTCAAGGACATCACTGCCAAAGGAAGAAGCGCCCCCGATGGACGGGGGACTGGCAGTGTTAGATACCAGAGGTGTGGCGTAGTCAAGACGGCGGGTAGAGGCAAAGTTAGCGACGGCAGCGACAAGAGTGTCAAGACTTGAGACAGGAACAAACGGGTCGGTTACGAGGGAGGCAAGGACCCGAGGAATAAGAGGACTAGCGGCACAAAGGAAGTCAGACAGAGGAGGCGAAGCGATAGAAAGCAACAACGGAGGTGGAGAGGATGAGACGCGTGGGAACGGAGCAACATAGGGTGACAGTGCTTAACAGAAGAGACACGACGAGCACGGGAGGGACAGCGAGACCAGAAGTGAGTTGGAGGCGTCGGGTAAGGAGACACAAGAGGAGAACGAGGGGGAAAACGAGCCATAGATGTCGCATTGCCTCTCCCTGATGGCCCGACTCTCCCTTCTAGCCCGGCTTCTCCTGTGCCTTCCCTTTCCTTCCCTGATATGTAATTGTCACTGATTTCTCCCGCTCTAACGAAAGGCTTCAAGGAAGCTTTCTTAGTTCAATACCGCCCCTGTCTGGCCTCTCTACATAGCTCTAGCTGTGCTCCTGAATGAATCCACTACTCACAGAGCATACACGCTTTCCTATGATAACAAGAGAACAAACAAAAGTAGCTACACAACTACGCACTTGCAGTTTTGTGGCTACCTCCTAGTAGATTCACTCCGGAGCGCGCACCCCTCCCTCCCTTGAGATCAGCCGATGTTCGTTTCGGGTTTTTCTCCACCGTGATGGCTCCATGTCGCTTTGCGATCGACGCTGCCTCCTGCCTTCCTGCATGCCTTCTTCCCTAACTGCTCTCGACCCGCCCAGCTGTACCCTTCCTGCATGCCTCTCTTGCCAACGGTCGCACCGCCTTTCTGCATCCCAACCTCGATCTGAACACCCATCACTGTACACCCCCTTTTATCGCCATAACCATGTACACCCCTCTTTCTCCAACCCTTTTTGCTTAAACTTCCCGAGTTGTCCCACGGATTTTCATAACACATTCGTTATGTCAATTCGTGCGACAGCTGTCTCATTCCCCCTCCCCGATGGCCCGACTCTCCCTTCTAGCCGGGCTTCTCCTGTGCCTTCCCTTTCCTTCTCTGATATGTAATTGTCACTGATTTCTCCCGCTCTTGCCCCCTCGTTGCTGGTGTAGCGTCCCTGCCCACCTGCCGCAACCCTCCTGCGCATGCTACATTCGAGTCATGGTCCCGCACTTGCCGCCCCTTTGAATCTCGCAACTCTAGCACTCCCGAGCCTTTCACCTTCACCACCTCCCAGCGCTCCCGGCTCAGTCCGCACTCCAGCGTGTCCCTGCGCTGTTACCTCAGGTACACCTCATCCCCCACCTGGAGCGTTTGTGGTCGCCCCCCGCCTTCCTTGGTCCCTTGCTGCCTCTGGCTGTAGCGCCTGGCATCCCTCAGCTGAGCTACCTCTAGGTTTTGTAGTGCCGCCGGCAGTACTGACCGCAGATAACTAGCGCGTGTTGCAGCCACTGCCGCCCATTGTCGAGGGTCATCTGTCCCCATGGGCTCCATCATGATGCGTGGGGCGTCTACTGGCAGTATCGGTTCCTTCCCGTAGAGCTGGAAGTACGGGGAGTAGTTTCTCAGGGCCTGCTGCTTGCTGAAGCGATACCCTGCGGCCACCCATGGGAGCTGCAAATCCTATTCCCTTCTCTCCTCTTCTTCACAGTACTTCCGCAAGCCCTACTTCAAGGTCTGTACCATCCGTTCAGTTAAGCCATCCGCTTGCGGATGATACCTCGAGGTCCGTCGGTGGGTTATCCCCACTTCTTTCACCACAGCATCGAATTCTCCAGCGAATTCAGTACCTTGGTCTGTCAATACTTCTCCACACGCCCCGAACCTGGTTAGCACTTGCTGCACGAATCCCTCTGCTACTCCCGCGGCTGTCTTCCGCGCCAATGCAGCCACTTCCAGCCACTTGCTAGTGTGCTCGATCATCACCAGCACATATTGCTTACCCTGGCTGGAGAGTGGAAGTTCTCCTGCTATATCGAGGGACCATCGGTACCCTATCTGACCAATTGGCAGTAACTGCAAGTTCCTCCGAATGCTTCCCAGCTGCACCTTACTCTTATTGCACGGCTCGCACTGCCTCACCACTGCTTTTACCTCTGACCGCATCCCATCCCACCAGTACATGGTCTATAGTTGTTGCATGGTCCGCTCGACTCCGTAGTGCCCCAGCTTTGTATGAATCTTGGTGATTAGCTCCCCTCTCTCTTCTGGCCTTGGCACAATATGCCAGCCATCCTCTGTCACTAACTGCAACTGGTTTTCCTGCCAGTGGTAGTGCACACCTCGCGCCCGCACCCTCTCCGAGACCTCTGCCCCATCCGCTCCCACTCCTCTCACCCAGTCTAGCACTGGAGCATCTTCCCATATTTCTCTGCTTCCCTTGAGCTCTGGTGACCTTCTCCGCCAACAAACCTTTTCCACAGCTACTGCCATGTGGGCCAGACTGATCTCGGCCGTCGGCTGCCTCTTTTCCCCTTCCCCTTTGTCTTGCCGCGACAGCCCATCCACGTGCTGCAAGGTTTTGCCTGGCCTATGCTTTATCTCGAAGTCGAACTCCTGGAAGCGCATCGCCCAAAGCGCATTCCTGCCCTTCAGGGTTTGGTTCCGCATGAGCCAGAGCAATGGCTGATGGTCAGTTACTAGGGTGAATCTTCGCCCCTGCAGATATGATCGAAACAGCTCCACCGCCCATACCGCCGCCAGCCCTTCTCCCTCGTATGAACTGTAGTTACTCTCCGCTGGCCTGCATGACCGGCTGGCGTAAGCCACCACCCTCTCTGTCCCCTTCTCCCTCTGGCACAGCACCGCCCCCATGCCGCTACTGCTCCAGTCCGTGTACAGCAAAAACGGTTCCTCGGATCGGGCAGCTTCAGCATGGGGGTCGTTTTCACAGCCTCCTTCAGTGTCTGCCACGCCTCCTCCTGCTCTCTCCCCCAACTCCATGCCGTATCTTCTCTCAGCAGCATATTGAGTGGCTTCGCCGTCTTACTAAAGTTCGGGACAAACTTTCGGTAATAGTTGAGAAACCCCAACTGTGCCCGAAGAGTGCTACGGTCATAGGGGGCCTTCAGGCGATCCACGACTTCTACCTTGGCCTGCTGGACCGATAGTCCTCCTTCTCCCACCTGAAAGCCCAGGTACGCCACGGTTGTCACTTCGAAAGAGCATTTCCCCGGATGGCATGTCAATCCGGCCTCCTGCAAGGCCTCCAGCGTCTTAGCTACGTCCTTTACGTGCTGCTCCCCGTCTTTGCTATGGATCACTACGTCGTCGATGCAACACAAGGCGCAGGGGACGTTCTGCAGTACCTGGTCCATCACCCTCTAGAACTTCGCCGAGGCGTTTTTCAGTCCGAATGGCATGAAATTCCATTCGTATAGGCGGTCCGGCCCATGAAATGCCGTCTTCGGTTTATCCTCCTCTCTAATAGGTATCTGATTAAAGCCCTATCTCAAATCCAGAGTGGAGTAAATCCTACTCTCCGCCAGCTTGTCAAATATTTCTTCGGCCATCGGCATCGAGTACCTGTCACTCTGAGTGATCTGGTTTAACCCCCTGTAATCTCCGCACATCCTTCTAGCCAGCATTTCTTCCGTCAGATCCTTCCTCGCACCACCGTCGCCGCTGCGTACTCCGAAGTTGATTCTTGGATCAAACCGGCCTCTAGGAGTTCTCTACATTTCTCTACTGCTATGTCTCTGTCCCCCGGGCTAAGTCGCCGCCTTCGCTGATATACTGGCGCTTCACTCTGCAGCTCGATCGCCATCTCCGCCCTGGTGCACTTGCCCAGCTCTTGTAGGGAGTATGCGAAAGCTCCCCGTGCCCCCTCCAGTACCTTCTGCATCTGCCACTTTTGCTCCTCATTCAGCCCGTCATCCATGCTCCAAGCACCTTCTCCTTGCCCTGCTGGCTCCGCTTGTCGTGTGTCTCCCTCTTCGATTCCCACCGACTCTCCATTCCCCTGGGGCACCTCCACTTCCTCTGGTCCTCGCCGGGCCATTAGATTGAGTCCTCTCGCATTTAGCAATCTCCCGCTGCAATCCCTCTCGGCCTGCATCTGCCCTCTCCATTGTCGCCATTCCTCTGCCGTCTCAAAGGCCTTCTCTGGTTCCTTGTCTAGCATCTCCTCTCCACCTCCACATCATCAGCAGCTGGGCTCTCATCCCTTCTTGCCGTTGCTCTGCCCGGTACAGCAGCCAGACCAGTGCATGCTGGTCCATCGCGCCTCCCAGTGCTCTCCTCCGGGCCTCCTCCGATACCCCATCTGCTGCTGTGGCGTTCCTCAGGTACCCCATGGCTCTCTCCCGCTCCACCGCCCACGGCTCCTCCCATGCTTCCGTAGCAATGTCTTGTACCATGCCCGGCCCTGTCGCCCCTCTTCCATCCGGAATGCGTAACTACCGGGTGTGGCAACCAACTTCGGCTAGACTTGCCTTGGTGCCCCACTTCATTGCATGGGAATTGATTCCGCGCGTCTGGGGTAGTCACCGGAGCTGGCCTCCTCCCTGGCTCTAGGATGTCTTGTACTAGTCTCGGCACGGGTCTCTGCATCCGCCCTAGCTGGTCTCTCAGCACCGGCTCTGGAATCATGTTCTGCCAGTAGCGGCGGACTCTCCTCGCCTTCGACCCCATCTGCGCTGCATCCCAGGCCACTCCATGGCCCAGTTCCTTGGTCACCAGCTTATGAGCTTCCCTGGCCAGGGCCCTCTCATCCTCGGCTACATCCAGGTTTTCCACGTTATAGGAAAAGGGTCCTTGTCGCCTCTTGATCATCTTCATTACTCTGATCAGTTCATGAAACAGTGCTGTCCGGGAATCAACCAGCCCTCGTCCCATGCCTTCCCTTGACAGCCCCTGGCATTCCCAGCCCGCCACCAACAGGTCCACCTGCCCCCAGCTTTCCACCACCTCCTCGGTAATGGCATTTACATCATCTAGTGCTTCGGCTTCCGCCTCTGCCCTGCTATCACTGATATCGACGCACTCGCAGTTTTGTGGCTACCTCCTAGCAGATTCACTCCATAGCACGCACCCCTCCCTCCCTTGAGATCAGCCGCTGTCCGTTTCGGGTTTTTCTCCACCGTGATGGCTCCATGTCACTTTGTCATCGACGCTGCCTCCTGCCTTCCTGCATGCCTTCTTCCCTAACTGCTCTCGACCCGCCCAGCTGTACCCTTCCTGCATGCCTCTCTCGCCAGCTGTCGCACCGCCTTTCTGCTTCCAACCTCGATCTGAACACCCATCACTGTACACCCCCTTTTATCGCCATAACCATGTACACCCCTCTTTCTCCAACCCTTTTTGCTTAAAATTCCCAAGTTGTCCCACGGATTTTCATAACACATTCGTTATGTCAATTCGTGCGACATAGATGAGTCTGGCAGAGGAAAAACAGGGCCATAGACAGGCAGGGGGGGCGGCGGCGGCGGAGGCTCAGGCAGATGGTTACAGGAGGGAAGACCGAAAAGGCGAAGGGCCGAAACCGGCGACGACTGCTATTGCGGCTGCGGCTCCGCGCCGATACCAGAACCTGCTGCTGCACCACGGCTACCTCCGAGATACTCCACGCCAACACCCCCAGAGCGAGAACCCTTGCCAATACCGGCGCCACCCCCTGGACCGTCGGGACGAGCTACGACAGTAACCTCAGGACTAGCACCCCCAGAACCAGCACCCCTAGTACGAAAACCCTCTCCAGCACTGGTGCCACCCCCAGGACCACTGGGACAAGCCACGTCAGGAACCCCAGGATGAGCACCCTTCTCAACGCCCGCACCCCTAGAGCTTGAGGACCCCTGCGGCGGCTGCTGCTGCGGCGGTGGCGACTGCAGCAGCTGCTGCGGCGACAACAATGCCGGCTGCTGGGACGGCGGAGGAGGAGACACCGGGGTGGAGACAGGCGGCGAGAACGGCACCGCAGGGCCACCAGAGTTAGCCGACTCCTCGACCCGGACAACCGACGGGGAGGTGAGTGATGTGAGACACACCAGACGGGGAAGGACGGGGAGGGAGAGGAGCAGGGGCTACTGGGGGGGTGGGAACCAGAAACAGGGCGGGGAAACCGGGAGACCTCGGTGGGGAAATTGGTGGTAGAAGGAGACAAACTCAT